TCATTCTAAATTGTATCTGCTGGTAATCTTAAATAGATGTTTAGAGACTGAGGAAAGTTATTGCCTAGCGAACCAAAACTATCCATTTCTGTACTTGATTTGTGCTTTATTCACGCTTTTTTAAACTTAAGTATGATTAACACTGCTTTTCTGCAAAAAGTATGAGGAGGGGATTACTCCCAGTTCTCATATTTTGTAAGTCAAAAATCTAAATCCAGCAACAAAAAAAAAACCAAACAAAAAAAACAAAAAAAAAACGTTATTTTTTTTAAAGGAATCGTGAACTATTTCAAATTGGGCCATAGTATCGTGAATAGCATTAGAAGTAAGCAAGGCATGAGAAATACGATAATATTGTTCAATTTATCACTTTTCATGGTTGCAGCAACTATGAACAATATTATGACTATATGAATAATATTATTGATGATTGAACGATATTCCAAATTTTCAAACAGCTTAGTTTGAGAAGCAGTTTCGGGCAACAGCTAAAACAAAGTATCTGATAATGAGTGTTTAAATTAATAAAAAGATCCTAATGAGTGTCACCTTTTGTAACCAATCCAAATCGTTCAAAATTTCTGCAAGAATTCTGGGTTATGTATCAAAGAGATATTTGAACCAACCTTTCTACTTTCCGTCCAACTTCAAAGGCTTTCTTTCATATCATGCAATAATAAAGAAAATAAATTTCAAAGGGCATTTACATATACCTCGCTGTTGTAAAAGTCTCAGAGGAATCTACTGTTCAGCCCTCAAGAGAATTCCTCCCGTCAGAAAGTCTGAGATTGTCTGCTGTTATGAAAACTAGGGTAAACTCATTTCGAATACCAGGGAGGGGGAATTGAAAAAACATCCAATATGAAAGGCATTCTTTTAGATCATGCAAAGAGAGAGAGAGAGAGAGAGAGAGAAATAGAGAGGTGAGAGAGAGAAGAGAGAGAAATAGAGAGGTGAGAGAGAGAAGAGAGAAAAATAGAGAGGTGAGAGAGAGAAAGAGAGAGGGGAGAGAAAATCATTTCAAAGCACACTTACATTTACCTCGAAATTATAAAGATCTCAGAGGATTTCACTGTTCAGTTTTTAAGAGAACTCCTCTCGAATGAAAGTCTGAGGTTGACTGCTGCGATGAAAACAGGGTTAAAATCATTCTTATCATTATAAGGGGATTTATAATAATTTATAATTGAAGAAAGGACGCGATTCTTCCAATCTAAACTAAGACAAATTGATCAACCCCTCATCCCTATTCGAAGTGACTTATCAATCACCAGCATGAGAGTCTGGTGTCTGGAGAAGTTCTCGTGACAGCCGGACAATTCAGAAAACGAAACATACCCATTATTAATTACCCCATCACCAATCAGCTTCAAATCTATGATCCAACTTTTATTGTTCAGAGATTCATCACAGTGACTACTTTTATCATGACAAGACAAACAGTGTTTTTAATGAGTTATCTTGGAAAAATATGAAATCAAATAGTAATTTCAATATTTTTTTAAAGCAATTTCATTCAGCAATTCAATATTTTTTTAAAGCAATTTTTTAGCAATTTCATTATTTTTTTAAAGAAAAAAAAAATTACACTCATAAATTCGCTACACAAAATTTTTGGACCGTATTAATGGATAAATGATGCATTGCAGTGGTTTTATTTTTGTAGTTAGTTCCAAAAACCTTCTTCATATCTTGAGTTACAAGCTATAATATGGATATTTTCTTAAAATTCAATGATATGAACTAAAATTTTTTATTTTCCTTTAAGGTCTCAGCACGTGAATGCACGTGAAAAAAATCTGCGAATCTCTGAAAAACTTTTGATCTAATAATCGGATTTACACATGTTTAAATACTTTCTCTGAATGGTTTAAGGGCATAACCTTAAATATCCCAATTAACTAGGGCATAGAAGCGAAAGTAGACACAAAAACGTACTTTCTCTGAATAAACATACCTTTTTTCGATGGATTTGGATTTCTGACTTTTAAATTATGGGTAATCTGGAAAATATAGAAATCGCAATCTGGAAAATATGGGTCTATTATTTACTGTAGGAGAGTGGTTCAAACTTTGGGCAAAGTTATGTAAATTTCCCATTTTGCGTATTTCACTATAACTCGAAATTTTTTAAAATGAATTGAAAATTTTTGCACAAAATTAAAAAAAAAACTCGTTTTGCCAAAGATAATTAATTTCAACCGAAAAATAACTTTTAATAATTCCATAAGTTTTTTAAAATTTATCTAATAATTGACGAAAAACATTAAATACAAAATTTTTCATAATTTTAACGAAACTAATTTTGAATGAACTCAATTGAATAGTTCAAGGAAAATATTTTAAATAAAAGACTTTTTTGAAATCTTTTTTACTTAAAATATAGTCTGTTTTTGTAATTAGCGAATTTAATGTCATACTCTAAAACCATTACGATAGAGTTTCGGTACGTGAAAATCCGATTGTTAGATCGAGAGTCATTCTGGGTGTTCCACTTTTTATTATTCTTTTTTTGCCCACTGTGCATTTCAGATTATTTTTATACTTAATTTACTGTTATTTTATTTACTGTTATTACTTTATTTACTGTTATAAAATAGTCATTAGAGTTAGCTACACGCTTTTCTAAACTAAAAAGTAAAGCAATAAAAATAGAAGTAAACCTGATCAAAGATGAAAGACATGAAGAAAAAAAAACGAATAGCGGCATTATCAAATAAAAGTAAAAAGTACACAATATTAAAGCTCCACCTTCAACAGAATAAAAAAAGAAGCCTTCAACCTTCATCAGGACACAATAGAGCGCACAAAAATGCCTTGCTTAATTACACAAACTCCAAAAACCTACAATTTTGCCCACTCAGATGGAAATTAATGCAGGTTTTAGCAAGCAAGGTCTAATAATGAGTCTTTTGTATACACCCACAATTGCTCTCTCTTAATCACTAAGGCAGGTAATTTGTGGACAAGGTTTGGAAAAGAAGATGCATTACGGTCAATCTTACATCAGCGTGGGAGACGTATAGAACCACAATTTTGTTGGAGAAAACATATTATTTGAGCAACGAGAAAAAGTGGCGTTATTGTGTAAAAAAACGGTCACTCTGAATTATGATTTCAAATATAATTCATACCCTATTTAATATAGAAATTTACTTGACATGATTCAAGTATTTTTATTTAATTCTTATATTTTTTTTAATCTAAAAGCAGTTTATTTAAAATTTGTTGGGTTGGTACTAAAGCAACTTCATTTTTTTTTACCGAACCGGAAAAAATAGTTTTTTTTTTAAAGTGTAAGAAATGGAAGAAAATGTTTTTCAGACAGAAATATCAAATATTAAAACAGCTTTTTAAGCATTACAAGTTGCGATTAAGTTTAAACAATAGTATTAGTTTTCAAGGATTTAACATATGATTTTTAAATAAGTGAAAACCAAATAGGAACAATTGGAAAAAAAATTGCAATTTAATGAACTTCTTAAGAAATTTAAATAACTGTAATTTGACTATATTTTATGTTAATGTTTATAGAAAAACATAATTTTATAATTATATAATGAACTCTCAAGATAACATAATCAAATTTTATTAATACTACTAAATTAACAAATTACAAACCTATTCACTACTATACAAACTTATTGAACTCAGATTTACAAATAGCATACTAATTTTTTTAATCAAACACTGTTAAGTATGAATACTCAAACTGATATATAATATGATAGATGGATTTGTTGAATTCTGTATGAATATAAATGTTTTTTTAATCTTAAAAAGATATGAAAAACTTTTAACTCCTGGTACTATATTAAATTTAATTTGTGTGAATTTAAATTATTCTTATAATATGTCTAAGCATTTGGATTGGTAATTTTAGTTTCATCCATTTCCTAAACATTTGTATTGATATTTTTTAGTTTCTTCTTCTATTTTATCCGGTTTCTTCCAGTTTTTTCCAGTTTCTTACACAGTCCAGGAAGAAATAGGTTTCTTCCGGTTGAAATGCCAACCATGTATTTCAGTAAATTAAATGAAAAAAATTTTGATTCAAATCATACAATTATGTACAGCGATTTCAAAAGGCTAAATTTAATCAGATAATATTTAATTTGACTTAGAAATTGTTAAAATTGAAGTACAAATTCTACATAATATTTAATTTGACTTAGAAATTGTTAAAATTTAAGTGCAAATTCTACATGTAATTTAAATAGGCATTTAATTTATTACTAAACAAAAATAAATGAAAAAATGCTAATTATTTAGAAGTCAACGAGAATAAAAATCAAAATAGTCTTTACCAGATGATGACTTAAACTTTCTCTGAAAAAGAAAAGCTTTGGGGAAAGCGATCAGCTGACATAATGAATATTCTTTGATTAATGAAGTTTTGTGACGTAGAAAACACATTTAAAATGACCTATCTAGATCATTAAAAAACCAGTTCATTCATAAAAGGCAACTATTTACTAGAGGAATATACTACCTAATACTCCTGAATGGCGATCAACCTATCATTATTGATTCTTTTAAAGCATCCTTTATTTTTATCTATTAAGCTTTGAAACAATGTAGAAATATTTATATTTGTAGAATAATTGGAATATATTATTAACACTTTGATTAATATACTATACGGATGAGTTAAGACGTAGTTCTTATGAATAGCATTACGATTTCTGAAGAATTCTATCAAATCGTAGAGTGATTGGATATATTTTTTATTGAGAATGCATAAGATACAAATTATAACTTGCTTAAAAGTAGAGATTCTTTAAAAAATTTGGCGGAAATAATGCTTATTTTTATAATTAATTTCAGTTTGAATTAACTATTCACGACTCTTTGTCCAAGTTTAGATGCTTCTTAAAAAAATAAAACAAAACGAAGTTACGAATAACAGCTTTAAATAAACGTTTAGCAGTTTTTTAAATTTTTAGTTATACAGGACAAGCACAAAAACACCACCAACAACAATAAAATGAGTAACTTACCTGTTAGATCAAGCCTGTTTAAGTTGACACACCTTGTGATAACTTCCGATACTCCAACATTTGAAATGAAAGCACAGCCCTTAACTTCAAGAGATTTCAGTTCTGGACATTTCTTTGAGATTGTAAACATACCTTTGTCCGTTAATTTACAACAACCATTTAAAGATATCCTTTCAACAGCTAAACACACAGTTGGAGAATCCCGACATAAAAGTCGAAATAATGTCTTTAATCCTCGATCCACATGGATTCTTTCACTACTTAAACACACGGAAGTCCATAGTTGAGGTTCCCAAGCAAGAAAATACCATCGCCTGCATACCCTGGCACAAACACACAAATAGTTACTGGATAAAAATGAAAATATTTTGATGATGAGATCGTCTGGTAATCGGTCGAACTGTGAAGTTTTGTGCGATTTTTTTCCTTTAAAAGTTGTTAGTAGAGAGTTTGTATTTAGAACATTTAGGTTGGTTGATCTGTAAAAGAAAAGAAGTTTGTTTTATTTAATAAATAAATTAATCTGTAATTATTTTATCTAATGAGAGCTGAGCTTTAAGTATTGGCGGAAACTCGAATTTTACTATATTCTTTGCAAATAAGAATAGGCATCTCAATGATACGCAATTTCTGATTTTTCTCCACGCAAATGAGTAAGTATAGCCGTGGGAAAAAAAAATAGAATTTTGCGGAACAATTTAAGAACATGGACATAGCTCAAAAGTAGGTTGAAGAAAATGAACATAGCATTTTAAAGCAGTTTTTCAAACTTTTCTTCTAAAAATTTTTCTTTTATTTAAAGAAAAAACTAATGAATCCAAATAAATTCGAGATGTGTCAATTTGCCTAAATCACTTAGCAGCTTAACACACTTCATAAATTTAGTATTTTTTGAAAATATATTAGAAGTCAACAGTTGTTTTACGAGGCTGACGCGGAACAAACGTACTTTACTTTTTCAACGAATTTTCTGATTTACAAAAAATGAAAAATATGGTCCCAGTAGTTAGAAGAACGCCCAAAAGACCGTTCATCTTTATTTTCTGCACATTATGTCATGTCGCTGAAACTATTGAAGCACATGGGTGCCACTCTAAAAACAATTTAGGACTGAACTTATTTTTTGACCAGTGAGCTGTCCAGCGTTGTTTACCGAATTTTTAGAAATTTTTAGCTCACTGTCACCAACTTTATCTTTTCCTGAAAATAACTTACATATGAAATCAATTATTTGATTCATTTTTCTCTTCATTTTATGTTTTTTTTTCGAAAAAAAACTTTTTCCTGAAATTATTCATATTTCTATTTTTCACTTCACCATTATTTATTTTTTGCTCTATCACTATAATTTCGTTTTTATTTATTTATTTATTTTTCTTTTTAATAATCTTAACATAACTTCGGCCAGCATGTCAATAGCTTTGGGGGAGGGTGTAGCATATTTAGATCCAGCAATCGTAAAAATTTTGTTAACACAAGCAGATATTATAAGTTCAATCACTCCCGTTTGTGAAAACTTTAAGAATAAGATTTAGTGAAGCTGACAAAAGGAAGATAAATAAAAGTCCCGAAACCATTCTTTCATTGCAGTATAACATCATTACTAGATCATTTTTCTATAATTGTAAAAAAAAAAACAAAGTTTTCATTAAAATGCAAAATTTTTTTATTTTTAACAAAAAAACAAAAAAAAGATTTTTCTATTGAAAAAAAAAAGATTTTTCTATTGAAAAAAAAAGGATTTTTCTATTGAAAAAAAAAAAGATTTTTCTATTGAAAAAAAAAAAAGATTTTTCTATTGAAAAAAAAGAAAGAAAATTGAATTCAATTGATAGAATTCATTAGTCCCCCAATGTTTCTCAAGACTGATTTCAGTCCCCAGGACTGAAGAGTGGCACCCATGTTTAAGATAATTAAAATATTCTTACTCACAATTATTATAAAACTCTTAACTTATTCGAAGATTAACGCATTTTTTTCGTAATTATTTATTATTTTTTAATTTAATGATGATTAAATCGAAGACTTCTTTCAATTTCAAATATCATAAAGTTTTACATCATTAATTATGTAGGGTAATTAATGGTTAACTCGGTAATTCTCTGATGAAAATATATTATCAGCATCTGTCCTGGTAATTCATAGGGTTATAATCAAGTAATATAATTCTTTTATCTGTGTTTGTAAGCCAACCGGTTTGTGTAGGGGTCCGAGAACTGGCCTTGCATCAGGATGGGTCTGGGTTCGAATCTCGGACAAGGCATGGATGTTCTTTCATTTTCTACACTATCTGTCCTGACTGTGGGAGCAACGTTGGCCCACCTAATATGGTGTCCCTGAAAGAATGACCAACATGTCTCCCCCTAAACGCCTAAATTGACGAATGTCAATTGGAAAAAAAAATAATGTTTGTAATATTTGGGCATAACAGCGAAAAATTTACCCAACAACAAAACTTATTTATTTATCCTCCATAATATATTCTTAAAATACAATAAAAATCTTATCGTGTCTGTTATTGTTTATTTACCATACACTTTGATTTTCAGAAAAAATTATTTGAAGCTTATCTTGCCGGACAAATATGGTTGGGTTTTCACAGGGAAAGCTGGTTTTTACCAGGATATGGTAAAAACTAGTTTTTTACCGATAAAAACCACTGGAAAGATAGGAAAAACCTTGTAAATACTATCATAATCCATATTTCTTTATTGACAGGTAGTAGTTATTTATAACTAAAGCAAATGTTTATAACTTCGATATTCTATCTAATATTAGGCACTAGGAGCAAGTATTTAACCATTGGAGAAGTGATCTAATTGAATGCTGCTACCAAATTTTAGCTACACAACTAAATTTTTTTAAAATAAAGGGATAGCAAATTTTTTCACTATTAAAAAAATTGAGAAACGGATAAATGTATTAGATTTTCAATATGAGCCAGCAATCATTAGTTTAATATTAAAACAATTTACATAAATTATCACTATCTATTATATCAATGTATGCCTAAACTTTATTGCAACTGCATATGCATGCAAAAAAAGTAATTGCAATTGGAAAGTTCCATCAAGTTTACAATACCGCCTTAAAAGTAGGTTTTTTTTTTGTTTTCATTTCTTCACAGAGATGGCAGAAGTAACAAGAATTTTTTCTGAAAATGTTAAAACTACAAGTAAAAAAAAGTTTCATTTTCCAAAATAGTAAATTCCACGGCAAACCCAAATTTTTTAAAGATGGTAAAAACCATGAAAAAAAAACAGATTTTTCTCAGGGTGGTAAAAACTGTGCCACCCATGGAACTAAAATATAATTAAAATCACTCAGTTTTGTTTTAAATCATTGTTCAGAAACTCACCTTGATGAAGGTGGCACAGATGATGCGGCATGACTGCGATGAGGTGATATAACATCTGATGTTCTTGGATAAGGTGACGTGTTACACATAGATGAATTAGCATCACTCCATCGAAAAGAGGAGCAACTCAGACTGTCAAACGTCCTGCGTGGTGCAGTCGGAGTGTGTGTTGGAGTCGGAGTGATACTATCTCTAGTTAAAAGTGTATGATAACCTAGATCATGTCCAGGAGATGCTCGGCCCCCATAGGACGATAAGGTATCGAATTTAGACTTATAAAGTGAACCTCTATAGTCCAGTTGAGGTTTTGGTGTAGATGACAGTGAAAAATTGTCGTCTGTTGTCGATTCCCGACTTTCATTAAAATAAAATTCCATGGTTGGCTTTGGGCATGCCATCTTAGAAGAGATTGTTTACACTGAGGAAAACATATTGTTAGAAACAGCTTTTGAGGTTAGAGGCGAGCTGTTATCTAGAAGAACCATAGAACTGGATATCTAGAAGAAAAAGAAAGTTTCTTTTATTAACTTTACAATTAATGTTGAAATGGAAATAAATTACAATATTGACAGTTTCATAATGTTTTTTAATTATAATCTTACTACCGATTTGGATATGTATAATTAAGAAACTTTTTTAACTATTTCAGAAAAGGTACAAACATAAATAAATGCATTTATTATTTAAAAAACATGCAGTACACATTAATTTGTTATAAATCGATAGTAGTTTCTGAATGCGGAAATTCATGCAGTTCTCTGATCGACAATTTTAATATATTATGATTTAAAAAATGACCATAAGCCCAGCAAATATTCGTTTTAGAAGTCACACATCATAAACATTTTTGTTTGTTTTTCTTCAGAAAAGACAACTTAACAATTCTTTAGTTTCAATTCTTTTTCAAAACATTAAAACGAAATAATTTTAAACTTTCATTTATTGTTGACTTCAATTGACATGTGAGCAAACATTTTTATAACAATACATCAAATATTTCAAAATTTGTTTTTCGAAAAGCAAATGCATCTATAAAATTAGCAACATTTATTAGTACGCCGTTCGATTTACAGTTTAATTCTTTCAATATTTAAATTTTATTTAAAATACCTTTTTTAAAGTAAAATTTCAAGATTTATTTTGAAATTAGAAATTTTTTAAATTACACCAAAAACTTAGTTTTTAAACATTATCTTGCCTTGTATTCTATTTTAAATACACAATTTATAAATTTTTTAAAAAAATAACCGATTTGTTTTATTATAAACATACTTGAGTGTAATTATAAAAACTATTTACGTGTTGATTATCAATTGCAGTAAAATACTTATTTCTTACCTTGAGTGTAATAAAACGTAGATATACATAAAGTTCTTATTGTGCAGTGAAACACTGCACATTAAACACAGTTTTCCCTGTTGAGCTGTATTATAGTTATGTATGTATTTGTTGTTATGTATATGTATGTTAGTTATGTATGTTATAGTATGAGCTGTATTATAGTTAGTTATGTATCATAACTAACTATGTACTAACTGTGCACATAATACTAACTATGTACTATGTACTAACTGTGTACATAAATGTATAACTAACTGTGTACATAATTACACAAGTATGTGCATGTGTAATTATGTACACAGTTAGCCACAGTAAGTATGAAAAAATAAATAGCTTGTTTTCTAAGCAAATTTATTGATTTTCAAACAAATGGGTACATATACTGTTTTTATTTTTACAATATTCCGCACGTTTTGAGTGCTTAAAATTAATATTAGTTTGAAAAAAAAAATTGCGAAACTAAACACTCATGTAGTTTTTTCGTATGATCTCTTCTTTAAAATTTCTTTTACTAATTATAATTGCAATTGTGTCATTTCTAAGGCCACATAATAAACATAGCTACGAGCGACTTATTTTTTTTCATAAATATTTTCAAAAAAATAATGCGATTTTTTTAATCTATAAATGCTAGTCTGTTATTATGGAATTGTCCTTCTGTAAGTATCCGTGTATAATCAATCAGTTGTAAAATATTGAAGATGGCTTTTGGTTAATTGTTAGAAAATGTATCGAAATTCGGTCATCAGGTTCTTAATTATGTTTGTTTCATTGAAAATCAAACATTATGTTTCCTAAAAATAGAAAATGTATTTCCACCACTTAGTATACAATGCAATTTAAGCGCGTGTAATTTGTGAAAGCTGATGAAAATATAAGATTCGTGTTTACTACGCTCGAAATACCTGAGATTTTTTAGTTCAAAAGAGTGAATAAATATAAAACAATGCATTAGACGTGAAATTTTTTTGGACTATTTTTAAGACTTAAAATCTTCTTTAATTTTCATTGTAAGAAAATTCATTGAAGGTGAATCGGTCATTAGATTCATAATCACGTTTATATCATTGAGAGTCAAAAATTCTGTTCCCTAAAAACAGATTTTGTATCACCACAGCATAGAACGCGCTCAAATTTCTTCAGATTTTCTAGATTGAATATTTATAATTAAAATGTAGTAATATGAGAAGAACTTCTCTGCATTGCAAGTTAAAAATGATCTGAAAGCCTTTGAGATTTATTACTTCTCTAAGTTTCCGGGTATGTTGTGAAACGTAAAAAATTAAAAATAGCTTTCGGATAATTGCAAGAAAATTCATCGGAGGTGAATCGGTCATCAGATTCTCAATCACGTTTACTTCATTGAGAGTCAAATATTCTGTTCCCTAAAAACAAAATTTGTATCTCCACAACATAGAACGCGCTCAAATTGCTTGAGATTTTCTAGATTGACTATTTATAATTAAGATGAAATAATATGAAAAAATTTCTTTGCATTGCAAATTAAAAATGATCTGAAAGCCGTTGAGATTTAATACTTCTCTAAGTTTCAGAGTATGTTGTGAATCGTAAAATATTAAAAAAAGCTTTTGGTTTGTTTGCAAGTAAATTCATCGGAGGTGAATCGGTCATCAGAATCTCAATCACGTTTATTTTATTGAAAGTCAAACATTCTGTTAACCAAAAACAGACTTTGTATTCCCCCAACATAGAACGCACTCAAATTGCTTGAGATTTTCTAGATTGAATATTTATAATTAAAATGAAATAATATGAAAAAATTTCTTTGCATCGCAAGTTAAAAATGATCTGAAAGCCTTTGAGTTTTAATACTTTTTTAAGTTTCCGGGTATGTTGTGAATCGTAAAATATTAAAAATAGCTTTTGGTTGATTGCAAGAAAATTCATCGGAGGTGAATCGGTCATCAGATTCTCAATCACGTTTACTTCATTGAAAGTCAAACATTCTGTTCTCTAAAAAGAGAAACTGTATTCCCACAACATAGTATACATTTTAAATGAGCAACGCGTCTAATTTGTGGAAGCCGATCAAGATAAGATTCGTGTTTGCCACACTCGAAATGCCTGAGAAACAATTTCATTTTTTTAATTTTATTTTCTTGTAATTTTCTTTTTGTCTCGAACTACTCAATCTTCAATTCTAGACATAGGTAACATTTAAAACTACTTCGATCAATTCTTACGTAACCTATAAGAACTCTTTTTCGAATAATTACACAGATGAGGCCGCTGCTCTGATGCAGAGGCCATTTTTAGCCGATCCATCATATAGAAAATTTTTGGTAAACGGACGCCTTTTAGTCATTCGGATCGAGGAATTTCAAAGGGGGCAAAACTTGACCCCCTCCACCTTTCTTTCAGATACATAATCGACAGGTTATTTAATCTTTTCTACGAACTACGTATCTCATTAAAGAACGTTTTAAGGCTTGTCGCCAATATTCAGGTCACTGCCTCAAAATGTGATAAATACTTTTATTAAGAAATTTATCTACGAGACGATTCGCAAGAGTTATTTTTTAATCTTTTAAATGAATTATAATATTTATATATTTTTAAAAAAAATAGGAGTACGTGCATATTTAATAAAAAAATTACTCAGTCTAGTTTTTATGTTACACATAATGATTTGGTAAAATTATACTTTAAGTGTAATCATATATAATCATATGAGCCGTAATGGCTCAGGGGATAGAGCGACCTTCCAATGAGGTGAACCTGGTTCGAATACAAGAGATGGCTGGTTGAAACGAATTCCGCACCCGGCTCGCACCGATCACAGCTCTGACGTAAAATATCCTCAGTAGACGACGGATCATGGGTTAGAGTCCCCTTGCCGTCAGGCTAACCATCAGAGATTTTAGTGGTTTTCCTCTTCATGTAACGCAAATACGGGTTAGTTCTATCAAAAAGTTCTCCACGAAGGCAAATTTCTCCCAATACTTGATCCATGAGTTCTCTAGTCTTCTGGATTGGGTTCAAAATTACAAGGCTACGTAGTTGAACATTCGTAGTTGTAAACCCATAAATTGGGTCGGCTGTTCAACGACGGTTAAAAAATAAAATATATAAGCATATGGTGTGCAATGATTGCCCATTGAACTTGTTCGGACATCATTTTTAAGATCGTTTCTGTTGAGAAATGACGAAAGCAGTATTGTGCTGTTATCTTGTAAAGTAGCTCATCAAACAGTTTTTTAAGACTGTGTTAAAATCGAAATCGTATCTGAGCTTAAAATAAAAAGGAATGTTGCAACTTCATCTGATTTTCGTTCTAAGAAAAAACCTTTTCTGTGTAATTTTGTTCGTATTTTTCTCCGTTATGCGATCAACACCAGCACTCAGTTTAGTAACAAAATCTCAAAAACTTCTAATTTTAAGAAATGGGCAACTTTTAAATCTCAGCATTATAAAACAGAAAACAAACTAGTAACAACAATAACTCAATTTAATCATCCAAAAATGTAAATAAGTCAACATTTCGGAATCGATTTACTGGTATTCGGATGGAATCGATTAACTGGTTGTTCAATTATCCAGATCGTTCAAGGATCATATCTTTTTCCCACCTTCTTCTTTTTCTTCAAAAAAAAAAAAAAAAAAAAAAAAAAAAAAAAAAAAAAAAAAAAAAAAAAAAAAANAAAAAAAAAAAAAAAAAAAAAAAAAAAAAAAAGAAGATAAAGAAAAGAAAAGAAACAGTGTTTTTGTTATTTTCGGAATGTCTGAAAGGGGTCGAAAAACAGTTTCCTTCATCCCTCTATAACCTTAAAAACGCACTGTCCGCCCAGTTTCAATGTGGGTGGCAAGCTTAGTTTCTAATAAGGGAGCAGGTTTCTAACAAAATTTTCAAAATTTAGCATTTTTAAACATGTTATGCGTAATATACTATAATATTCACTACTGCAATGGCTAATTCTTTACCTGGAGAAAGTGTTAAGAAGGAAGGCACTTAAAAAAGTAGATTTGTATAAATATATATATAT